AATGTGGTTTTGTTCCTACTGGCAATCACAGTGGATTCCTTCAGTCCTTTGCCCATTGCTCTATCAGCAATCATATGGGATAAAGTATAAATCTACTTGATGATTTTAGGCTTATATTCATCTTTTCCATCTGTTACTCATTGTCATGAAATCTGAGTTGGAAGACATGGTAGCTGTTGGTTGCTCTACCGTGTCTGGGATTAAATTTTAGAATACATCTAATGCTTTGGTTGAGCGATTGATCAGGTCTGTAATTCGGAGCCTTGGACTCACAGCTGTCTCTCTTTGAAATAAAGCTATGGGTTGGAATGTACAGAGAAGCATATTGCTTCCAGACTACCACATGTGACTTGTTTAGAAGAGAGTCCAACAGCCTGAACTTAATCCCAACAACACTGCTGCCCTCATGGAAAGGAAAATAGTTTCACAGATGCAGCTGAGTCTCATATATTCATTTTAATTTTTAGATCACTGCCGTAGGTGATCCGGCCAACTTGAGAAATGCCAAGAATGCCATTCTGGAAGAGCTGCCTCGAATTGTTAATACCATGGCCCTTCTCTGGAATGTTCTCAGGAAAGAGGAGACTCAAAAGAGACCCGTTGATCTACTTGGAACCACGAAGGGATCCTCTTCTGTTTACTTTAAAACCACCAAAGTGAGATGCCTTTCTCTGTGGTTTTATCATTTACTTTGTCTTGTATTGTCCCGCCAAAAAGGAATATGTATAGGAATGTATGCATAAATAATCAAACAGACGTGCTCAATGGAACCAAGTTAGAAGTCAGAATCTCCAGTTTGTTTCTTATGATTAAGTTTCCTATACATGGAACAGAAGAATGTGAGTGATTTTAGCCTATTTTCTTGTTTTTTTCCCTTTACCTTTTTGTTTTGGTTAAAAATAAAGTCTCTGGATGTTTGAGGCAGGGGTACCTAAAGTCCTCTCCTCAATTTCTAAAGCATTTCTGCTAAGACAGCTCATCTCTTTGTTCTGCTTTTAGTGAAAAATATTTGGGCCGGCCCGGTGGCGCACTTTGTAGAGTGCAGCGCTTGGGAGCACGGCGGTGCTCCCGCCGAGGGTTCGGATC